TAATATTGAGTTGGCTAGAAGTAAAACTTTATAATTTTTTTAATTTGATTTATAAGATATTATTTTAAATTTGTAGCTCAATTTGTTGGTAGATTGATATAGATTAAATTTTTATTTTTAGTTTTTTAAATTAAATATTTTTTAATTATTTTTTATATTTTTTTAATACGTAGCTATTCTAATTTTATAATTAACTAATAGGTTAATTTAAATTAATTCTATTATTTTTGTTAGATATTTTTCATTCGAGCGTATTCCTTTCCAATTTAATACTTTAACAACTCAATCTTTTTCTTTTTGTTTTTATTTATCTTTTAATAATTGATTGTTTGAAAATTAAATTTTTTAATTTTTTTCTTTTTAATTTTTTGAAAGTTTTTTTATTTATTTCAACATTTGATCTCATAGAAATTGTAATCTCTTTATTTATTTTTTATAAAATTATCTTAGTTTTATAATTTATATAGTGGGTTTGACAAATTAATATATTTTAACTAGAGTTTTGTTTTTGCTAATTTTTTTATTTTAGCATTCAACATTAAAATGATTGAAAATTATATTTTATGATTTGTTTTAATTTATTTTTAAAAAATTATCTAGATTTTATATCTCATATTATGTGTTTTGCAGGGTAACCTAAATTGATTAATTTAATTTTTTATTTAATATTTAATATTTTTTTAATTAAAAAATAATTTTTATAATTAATTTTGATTTTTTATTATAAGTATTACGATCTTATAACTCAATTATAAGTTAACTCTAATCAATTTAATAAATTATATTTTAAAAAATTATTTAATATATTAACATATCAATATTTTTAAAAAGTATCTAACACACACCATATTTTAATTTTAAGTTCATAATTATTATTATTTTTTTTAAATAAAAACATATCATCAAACTTTGAATATATTCTTTTTTACTTTTTAAAAGATTGAATGACCCGCAGCGCGAGCGGTCACCGCTTGATAACAAAGGCTTGAAGAGGAAGATGAAAACGAGGCAACGAATCAAATGGAATGGAATAATGTTGTCACTTCAAGTGTGGATCCACTTGTAACTTTCATTAAACTCCTGCATAAAATTACTGCAGTAAAATATTATTCGTTTAAATTTTATTTATTTTATTTAAAATTATTTTTTTATATTTTTAAATTTGTCCTATCCAAAAAAAATTAAAACAATTATTTTTAAATAAGTTGAAAGTATTTTTTATTCAGAAATATATCAAATTGATATTTTTTATTTTTAAAAATTATTTTTGGCATCAACAATACCAAAAAAATATTAATTTAAAGTAAATAAAAATATAAAAAAATTAAATCTTTTTAAAAATATATTTTAAACTCAAAAACAAATAAGGTTAAAAATAGAAACTAAGGCATGTTCATTTATATTTTTTAATTTATTGATTCCAAGCAATAATAATAAAAATAAACAAACATATATGAGTTTATTCATGTACACTATCATTTTAAATTTCAATCTAATTTTAAGAAGGTTTTTTTTTTTTAAATAAATTCACGAGATTAAAATAATTAAATCATGCAGGGAAGACATCAATTCATCCCTTCATAAAAGGTGATAAAAGATACGATACCTTAGCAACATTAACAAGAAAGTATAAAGCTCTCATCTGTTTTGGGGGGAAACTGACCCAGTGGTCATTTCCCGCGCCTTAAATATTCGCAAGGAGATGAAAGGAAAAAGCCCATAAACAATATAATAAAATTAGAGGAATGAATCGTATCAGGCTAAAATCCCTCCTCTTTAAAGTCCGCCATTTCCTTGGCCTAGCCACCACATCCGCCGTCGCCGCATGCTTCTCCACCACCGCAACTTCAACCGCCATGGAAGAACTTAAGACCCGTGTCTGCATTATCGGAAGCGGACCCGCTGGACACACGGCAGCAATCTATGCCTCACGAGCAGAGTTAAAACCAATCCTGTTTGAAGGATGGATGGCAAATGATATCGCCCCCGGAGGCCAGCTGACGACCACAACCGACGTGGAAAACTTTCCTGGTTTTCCAGAAGGAATAATGGGGGTTGAGCTGACTGAGAAGTTTCGGGCTCAATCCGCTCGTTTTGGGACCCAAATTCTTACTGAAACGGTTACAAAAGTTGATTTTTCGAGAACCCCGTTTGAGGTTGTCACTGATTCTAAACGTGTTGTTGCGGATTCGGTTATTGTTGCTACTGGGGCGGTGGCGAAGAAGCTGAATTTTGCAGGGTCGGAAAAGTTTTGGAATAAAGGGATTTCGGCTTGCGCGGTGTGTGATGGGGCTGCTCCTATTTTTAAGGAGAAGGCACTGGCTGTGATTGGAGGGGGAGACTCGGCAATGGAAGAAGCAAATTTCTTGACAAAGTACGGGTCCAAGGTTTATATTATTCACAGGCGGGATACATTTAGGGCTTCTAAGATAATGCAAAGCAGGGCGTTGTCGAATCCGAAGATTGAGGTTATTTGGAATTCTGCAGTGGAGGAGGCTTATGGAGAGAGGGTTTTAGGTGGGCTTAAAGTGAAGAATGTGGTTACTGGGGAGGTTTCGGATTTGAAGGTTAATGGGTTGTTTTTTGCTATTGGACACGAGCCTGCGACTAAGTTTATGGATGGGCAGCTGGAGTTGGATTCTGACGGGTATGTTGTGACTAAGCCGGGGACCACAAAGACTAGTGTTCGTGGGGTTTTTGCTGCTGGTGATGTTCAGGATAAGAAGTATAGACAAGCTGTTACTGCTGCTGGCACTGGTTTGTTTCATTTACTTGACTTTTTGTGTCCTATGATTAATTTTATTGTCTGGTTTTTAAGAGTCGAATCTCATGGTTTCTCTGTAATATCAACATGAATGTTTTGATTGATAGTTTAAAGTGCAGGCATAAACCTCGTAGCATAAGTTATGATCCTGAATCCTTTAGGAAAAATTGATGAATGCATCGTTGTGTTATGTTTGATGGTGGATCTTGAATCTTGTTGGCAGTTTGGTCCTTGTTATGCTGAAGCTTTTCTTTTTAAGTCAAAGGTTTTACCAATGTCAAGGACACGATTTATCCACACCTACTCATGTTGTTCAATTGAGCAAACCATTCCAGAATCGGGAATGAGTTTGTGATTAGCTAGTCTTGAAAAAGCCTACTAATTTGATTGATTTTGCTGAAATAGCGGTCTCTGTCAATGGTTGAATCTACCAGGAACTAGCTATTAGCCAATTGAACGTGGGTTTAAATTTTTGTTTCAAATAGAGTTTCAAAACTCACAATATAACTTCAACCCTGAACCCATGACAGAGGAAGATTGTGATATGATTGATGCTGATGGATTGGTCTTTTTTGATGTTGGGTGCCAAAACTTCTCTTATAATCCCCTCTTGACCTGAACCAATTTGAAGAAAAAAAATTTACTCCTACCTGCTTACCTGGTTCATCGATAAATTATTTTTGAGCTAACATTGAGGCCGAGACTGAGCGATCACTTGAAGTCTGTTGTTTCATGATGATGCAGGCTGCATGGCGGCGCTGGATGCAGAGCATTACCTGCAAGAGATTGGAGCTCAAGATGACAAAAGTGATTGACTATCTACTATATCAAAAGGGTTCTCGAAATAACTTTCTTCACTGATGTGGTGCAGACTTTGGTTGCATCATACAGTCAACACGCGGCATTAGTGCTATACTATATCACTCCCATCATCACTGTGTTTCAAAATAATATTTGCTGCGCATATTCTATGTTCCCTTCTTCCATCCATCTTCTGGGAGTAATTTTTCTTAATTGGAAGAGTAAATCAGAAACGTTATTGCTAATTAGTTTGGATAATTGAAACGAAGCTGATCAAAGCTTCTAAATAAACGCTCTGGTCTGGGTCTTTTTGTTTTTCATCACTTTACTAATGATACATGAAAAAATTTTCATTATAAATTGAAGAATGAGCTAAGAAACCATACTTTATGCCGATGGGAATTAAACATGGCAAAAGATGCGATAAATGCGTGAAGTATCAACAAAGTTTTTGTCTAATACTGTGTTGATGTCCTTTTGGCATGTCGTCAGCAATCATCATTAAAAATTCATTAAATTGTTACTTTTATTTATTTATTTTGGAAAGTACGTAAGTCGGCGTACCAAACAATGGATGAGCATATTCTTGTTTAGATTCACTATATTATTTACACCTTTAGGTCTTAAAAAATCTTGGATTGAATTGAGTATTTATTTGCTATGAGAAGGGGTCTAAGAGTAAGGAATGTTTAGTCCATGTAGGTGCAACAATGATTTATTTCAACCCTTGTAGTTTAAATTTTCTAGTATTGCTAGCTTTTTAGATTTGAAAGTTTGGATTTCAAGACATGGTTTGGGAGTGAGTTTCAACTTTTATTTTATTAAGATTAATTTTTTTATTTTAAATTAATATTTTTAGTGTTTTTAGATTATTTTAATATGCTGATATAAAAAATTAAATTTAAAAAATATTTTAATATTTTAATATTTTTCCAAATAAAAAATATTTTAAAAAATAATTATTATCATACTCTTTTAATTCTTAGCTAACATACATGCACAAAATCTAAGATTATGTCTGGTTAGTTTTTCAAAATAACAATAAAAAACAAATACAAAAAAAATGTAAATACTATTAAATATATATGTTTTTGATATATTTTTAAACTAGCAAATACAAGTAAACATGTTCAGATTTATATATTCATGTGTGGAAGATGGTTTCAGTCAAGCCGTCTTAGCTCAGCCGGTAGAGCGCATGGCTTTTAACCATGTGGTCGTGGGTTCGATTCCCACAGACGGCGAGGCAATTTTGCCGATTTTTTTTTTTTTTTAATTTTTTAATGTGTTCAGATGTTCTTAGTGTATGTTCGAGAGGTTGTACGCTACATCGTAAATGTAAAAGCAGAAGCAAAACAAACACATCTTTCAAATACGGGAAAAAACATTATGTTATGTTTTGTCCAAACATAGTGATAGACAAGTAGAGAGTATCTGGACAAAGCCTGGACTAATCTCCTGGCTAACACCATGTGATTAGCCTGATAGCAATCAGTGAGTGAAGTTACAAAACAAACAACAGACACTTAAAACGGATCTAAATCTGATTAAGAAATGCTCGTTTTCTGAAGTTAATACAGATCTAAAATACAGTTAACAACATGGATTAAATTATTTGAACAATGTTGGTGAAGATCACGGGCTGGAACAGAGAAACCAAGTCTTGATGTGATGCGCAAACAATTGGGATCCCACGCAACAGACAGATTTAAACAGGTCATGGTGTCCCATCCACTATCTCCCCCCCGCCTGAGTCACATGGATCCGGCAACATGAACAGGCTTTGTTTATTTTCTAGATAGATACTAGTTCCTCCACATGGACTTCCCTTTGCGTGTCCCCTCAAGTCCTTAACCCTGCCAGCAACTACCCTTGATTTTTGTACTTCCCACATGTCTTTTGCTGGAGATTTATTTCTGATTTTCATTATAAGATAAAGTCTTGTCATATCAATTAATCAAATATGGGATGATAACATTCAATTTGAGGGTGTTATCTTTGACACGTCTTTGCTAGATCTATTGTATTTCATGTGGCTCTTGATAAGCTGCCCAGCTGCAATCGCAGACATCAGGGACAGCTCCCCTGCTAAAACAGAACCAGCAATGATGGTGGACAAGAGTCTTGAGTTTGATCCTGGGGAGTCCTTGCTAGCACCCTTCACTCCAAGGAGGTTCAAGCAAGCTGACTGAGATGCTAGTTGGGTGCCACCTCCAACTGTGCCCACCTGAACCAAATAGTTGATAGCTTATTAGAAACAAGGAGTTGGAACTTTGTTCTTAATGCCAGAGCTCGAATTAAATAGATTTTTTGAATGCATACCCATTTTAGTACTTTTCAACTGACCTGTTAAACAAAATGTTAAACCAATAAATTGGAAATAAATATTTTAGGCTTATATAGTACAAATCTTTACCTCAATGGAAGGCATGGTGACTGAGATGTGAAGGTCCTTGCCATCATTAACAGCTTCCATCATGGTAATGCAGTGAGAGCTCTCAACATTCTGAGCAGGATCCTGCCCTGTGGCTATGTAGACTGCAGTAACAATATTGCTGGCATGGGCGTTAAACCCACCAAGCGCACCAGCCATAGCTGAACCGGTAAGGTTTTTGAGCATGTTAAGCTCCACCAGGGTGGCTACGTTGGTCTTCAATACCTTCCGAACCACCTCTTCCTTTATGATTGCCTCACATACAACTGACTTTCCACGCCCTTCAATCCAATTTACAGCTGCTGGTTTCTTATCTGAACAGAAGTTGCCTGAAAAATTCAAAACACAGATTGAAAATAATGAATCATTGACCATCACCTGACAGTGAATCCAAAAATGGCAACTAAGCAGGAGGGGATTTTACCAGAGATGCCAATGATCTCCATGTCAGGAAAATCAGTTTGGAGATAATCAAGGACATTTTGGACTCCTTTGGAGACCATATTCATTCCCATAGCATCACCTGTGCTGCAACTAAACCTCATGTACAAGTTCTTTCCTGCTATTGTACATTTAATGTTTTGTAGCCTTCCGAATCTGCTTGACCTGCATATATTCTACCACATTAAACAACTATGCTAGTGTGAAGTAAATAATCCAACCCTAATTTTCATTTTGGAATATAAACATATTCCTAATAGCAACAAGAGTATTAGAAAACAGAACTTCTTGTAGTAGATAATTATAGAATAGGCAGATAATGATTAACTAATGCAAAATAATAATGAAGAAAATTAGAACCCATCAACACCAATAAGATTTCATCCGCCAACAACAAAATATTTCCAAAAGAACAAGAAAATTTCTAACAGGAGAAAAAAATACAGAGACATGCTTTTTTTATAAAAAAACAAACCAAAACCAAACCAAATCAAATAGAAAAATTAAGGAAGTATCCAAAGTCATATGGTACCAACTTTCTAGCTCATTGGATGAAATTAATCTTTTTAACCTAGGGGATGGACAATTTTCAATTTCAAGAAATTAATCATTTCAAGCCAAAGAAGACTAAAAAGACAAGGATTAAATTTGTAAAAGGAAGGTTAAATATATATCTAACCAAAAAATATCTATTTTCTTCAAAAAATTGGGGGAAAAAATCTAAGAATTAGGAGAAAAACAAGAACCTGTTGAAAACAACACAAAGGGTGTCAAAATTTGCAGGATCCTCGATAAAGAACTTCAACTCTGCAGCCCTTTTAGCAGTCCCAAATCTGACAACAGGAGCTCTAGTCATGCCATCTCTAAGCAAAACAGAACTAGCCCCACCTGATGCATAAATAGCCTTGCACCCTCTATTTGTAGAGGCCACCAAGCACCCCTCAGTAGTTGCCATTGGGACCGTATACTCCTTCCCGTCAAGCAACAAAGGCCCTGCAACCCCCACAGGAATCTGCACATACCCAACAGGCATCTCACAACATTGCCCCAATATTGACTCATAATCAAACCCCTCCAGTGGCAATCCTTCCAAAGACCTCCCTGTCATTCTCTGAAGCGCTTCACGACGAATAACAGCTGCCCTTGTGCAATCTCTAAGCTTTGATTCCAGAGAATACGAAGGAATGTCCCCAGATACTACAGCTTTGATAACCTCCTCGTCATCACTGCCTAACAATGGTGTTTGAAAGATTGTGCTAACAGCTCTCGCACTCGGAACCGGAGCAAGAGCGCAAACAAGTGATGCAGCAGGACTTTTTGCAGGGCCTGAACATATTTCTGCAGCACAAAGCCCCCCCTTTTTCTCCATCATACGATCTTCCTCTACGTCCCAAGAATCCTGTGACCCTCGAGAGATAAGAGATTGAGCGATGCCAATCCCAAAGAAACCAAGAAGATAAACAACCGAAGCAGACAAACAAATTATCCCACCAATTTCAGGGAAAGTAAGGATATGAAGGGGAGTGGAGTTGCGGATCTTTTCACGCCATCGGTGGAGGAGGAAGTAGGCTACGGTGAAAAACAGCCCGAAGAACAAACCGTTCGTAAGGTAAAGTGGTAATGGCAGGGCATCCGACGCCTTTAAAGACGTCGGAGTTTGTAAATTATGATGATCATTGTGATGGTGACGCTGACGATGGTATTGTTTCAGGGGTTCGCCGGCGGCTTTGTCCATGTGGACGTCGGATTTGGGTTGAATCCGGCGAACCTCGTGCGTTGAAAGTCCGATTCAAAGGGCGAAGATAGTGATAAAAAAACATATACTAGAAATGTTAGAGAGAGAGAGAGAGACGGAGAGGCGGAGCGGAGAGATAGGACGGTTTTGGAGGAAGGCGCGCGCTGTATCGCAGCTCACATGCACGGCATGTTTTTGGATCATGCTGTTCTTAAAAATTAGAATATCAATTTGGTAGCAATCACGTCTCGTAGTTGTAGCCCATAATTTGTTTTTTCCTTGTTCTAGGTCAATTGTGTTTTCGAGTTAATTTATTCATGACAAGGTCATTTGAAGCATGGATAGAGTTGAGTTTCAATTAGAAGAAAAATTAATTTGATGTGATTCAACTGAAAACCGAAATTTCTGTTCTAAATTTAATTTATTTAAAAAAAAAAACTATGATAAAAGACCTAATCTTATATCGACTTAATATATTCAATATTTTTTTTTTCTAAATATGATTCAAGATCCATGAATATATTAACACATGTAAGAGAGATTGCTAATAACATGATAAATTATGAAAGGATACATCACCTATTTAGTGATTTCGTTATAATGGGAAACATAATGTTTGTGTTGTAGTTGATACTAAAATCTTTCTTTTTTTTCTTAGGTTAATGTTGATGGTTTTATACTATCCTTTATAAAATTTGGTAGGATACTGCAATCATCCCTCACTTGCATGTGAGGTCATGTCCTAACAAGAAAAGAAAATTTATATTTTTTATTATATTTAAGTTTGATTTTTTTTATATATACTTGTTATCTCTGCAATGTCTTACTTATTTATTAGATTTGTAGAGTATTTAATGAACCTGAAAATTAATTGTGCTATGTATAAACCAACCCAAATACTTTAAATTATAACAAAAAATAAAATAAAATTCTAGAAATTACCTTTTCAAACACTTTAAATTTTAAAATATATATTTAAATGACAAATTCAATTATATACCATTATAAGAATACTCTTCCTGCATTGTCATTTTAGCATTACAAATCATGGGAATGGAAAGAAAGGATGGTGGGAATGAAAAAAGTTATAAAAATTGAAGTAAAAAGTGAATTGCCTTCGATTAATTTTTCCATAAAATCAATATATATATTATTAGAACTTTCCTATAATCATATAAAATTTTAATGTATTTATTCAATGTTATGACATGTTATATGTATACATAGAAGTTTAATAATTCACATGTAGATAATACATCATCTGATTTATCTAGATTCTAGTCATTGTAATGGTCAGAAAATCAAAATTTAAATTTGTTTTACTTAAAAACTTATTTTTCAATCTATTTTGCCCTAAAACATCTATAAAAGATTTCGTATAAATCATAATAAACTTATCTATGACCTTATAAAACCCAAAAAACTTTCTAAAAACTGAAATCAACTTGAGTAATGAAATCAACTCAGGCTCGTATATGTTTTTTCATGAACTTTAAAGGTACAAAAAACCTAACGTAAACTCCCTTCTCTACCACTAGAATTCAGTAATTTCTCTCCCTCTCCTCTCTCAACTAGAAACTAAAAAATAATAAAAATAATTTTTTATACCAAAATTATATCAAAAAAATATTGAGGTGTTGAAATTGTAAAATTTATGTGATTTTTAAAATTCAAGGATCAAAGTGTATTTTTTACAAAACTTGTGACATGTCATTTCTGTTTGACACTCTTTTCATTTCGGCCTCTCTTCTTCTAATCCCACCTTTTCATAAGAAATAAAAATTAATTGGTTTTCAATTAGGAATAAATTGATGCAAAAAAACATAAAATTTTGCACAGCTCTCTAATTATGGTGTGTTTGGTATTGTGGTAGTTATTGTGGTTATGGTTTGAAAAACATTATTTTATAAAAAGTGTTTTTGGTTGAGGTTGATTTGATATTTATGTATGTTTGGTTAAAACTATGGTTGAAATTGAGGTTAAATAAAAAGTAGTTTAATGTGTTTGGTTAATAATGCTTTTAAAATTGAGATTATAAAATAATTTTAAAAAATATATATTAATATTAATGGTTTTTAATTTAAATATTGTAGATTTAACTATTACTATTACATCATGAAATAAATAATACTTTATATAAATTTTTTTTATTATTCCATTAAACTATTTATAATTTCATCACGTATGAAATACATCCGACAAGAATTACAGTTTTTTTGGTTTCTTAAGCGAACAACAATATTAGGTAAAATATAATTAGGAATAAAATTAGAATTACGATCAAATTTTGTAAAGGCTGCGTCATTAAGCAATCTCTGTCTAATTTATATAGTGTCATTAAATAATAATAAACACTAGTTTTTTTGAATAAAATATAATTAAAAAATAAAAAATAATTTTTATTTTGTATTTTACTGGAACGGACTCAGTTTAATGCATGTTGAGTTTTGGACCAGACTCGGTTCTACCGGAATTAGTTCGACCAAAACAATGTAGCATGCTACCCTATTGATGTTAATTACACTGTTTACTGAACGGTGCAAATAACAGTACAGAGTGAACAGTACAATAAACATGAATAGTATAGAAGAAGCATCAATTAGTTATTTTTTTCCCTGCATTTTAGACGCAAAAATATTGTAGAACCCATAAACAGTAAACTATGTTTTTTTCTTTATTAAATAGGTTCTATCTACATTTTAAATAAAACATAAATGTAATTTCTTAGACAAACATTGCCTTATTAAATCTTCACATAACTTGAATATAAAAAAAATAAAATTTGCAAATTAGAGCTTATTAACTAAAAAAATTTAAAAAACTCAGGAAAATCTTATAGAGTTTTTATATTGGATAATATACAGTTGGTTGCTCATTGTTAGCGACTACTAACTAAAAAGGTAGTCCATATATAGTTGATCACTCTTGGGATTTCTTTTCATTTTCTAACCAATTCATTTTCATAATTTTATCACTATTTTTTTAGCTCATTATATCATAGTTTCAGAATCAAATTTTGCTAAGCATGGCAAGTTGATTCAGGATTTAATAAATTTAAAGCTAGAATCGGATTGAGTTAAAAAAAAAAAAACCATGAATGATATGATAAAAACTCAGATTATCTTAGTGATCCAACAAGATTTAATTAAAAATTTAATTTAACTTGTTGATTTTTTTTAACAAATATAATATTATTTTAATTTATAAATATGAGGTCAATCTATAATAATTTGATAACCTATCAAAACTCATTATCGGAAACTTAAATTGGATTAATAACTAAACCGAGTTTAAAAATTTTGCATTGTACAATGTGGAAACTTAAATATTAAAGCACATTTGTTATATAATTTTGTCGTATTGCTAGCATTTTGCATCCCACATGCTGATTCCTCAATTTAAAATGTGCATAAATTAAACTAAAATAAAATATTAAAACACATTTTAATAACATAAAGCCTAGATCTTTTAGTTTTTGACTGGTTTCCATCACTCAACGGACATTGAAACAAGTACTTTAAATCCTCGCTGGATTTGTGTATTGAGGTCCATATCCTATAAAGCTGGATGGATTCCTTGCTTATCCGTGTTTTTTTTTATATATTAAATATTCATTTCTTGTTCATTAAATTGAAGGTCTTCGAGTAGATATTGATTATTCAACTTTTATTTATTAAACAATATATATATATATATATATATATATATATTTCAAATTAAGTTTGAGTCGGATTTTATATTAAATTTGATAATATTTATACTGTATTAATCACCTATCGAGTATTATCTTAAAAAAAATCTACCCATTTAAAAGAGGCTAGATTATTATTTATTAACTTCGGATTAAATTGTCATATCTTTGCGAGCCCATCTTCTATCGCTTGAGTTTGGGGGTGTAAATTTCTTGGACAAGGAGGAAGTTTCTTCAATTTGGTTGACGTAGTATTCTTTGGCTCCAGCATTGTAACTACACAATGTATAACATTTTCTCAAGTACTATTGGATCAATTGTATTACAAAATACAAACCTCCCAGATTCCTAGTCTACTGGGTTATGGATGGTTGTCATCGCTATTAGAGAGAGCAGGCTCCTGAAGTGGATCCAGGCTGCAAGTAGAAGAAAATACATTGCATGGTTAGATAAATTTTCCAGAAATGGGATCACATTATCATGGAAAACTTGATTTGGGTAGAAGATTGATGAACTAATTTGACCATGTTCTATTGTCCACATGAGTTCAAACCAGAAGTATAAGTTAATGCAATCACCAGACTGTAATATAAACACAAAAATGTGGTTTGGAATAGTAATGCAAGCACTAAAATCAATTTGATATGGTAATTAGTAAACTTAATCCTTGTTAGAACTTACCACACATGCATGGATATCATCACACCCGCACAATAGCTTTCCATTTAGAAAGTCCACGGCTTGAAATGATCCTCCTCCTTCACTCCTCTGCAGGGCCACGCACCCAGTAAAAAAAATATTATGTTTCTTCTGAGCTCTTGTATTCTGTTATGAATGTTAATTTAACTTGAAATTATTAGATAATTTGCATGTGATAAGTATACCTTGTAATAATTTACAGCAACAAAATTTGCCCATCTGTTGCCAGCAGCACCATCACAAGTACGAAGCATGTTTATGAGATTTTCTGAGTTATCTTCACAGGAGAGTTCCTTCATGGAAGTAGACCTAAAGTAATTTACCAACACCAATGATCTACTCTTGTCGTCAAGAGGTGGTGACTCTTTTCTGTTAGGGCAGCTTCCTGCTTTCATGCCATCATCCCCATCTGCCACAAAAAAAAAAATGTTTAAACCAATATTATATGCATATGGTATCACAAATCCTACAGGTGAAAAATTGAAAGAAAATTTCTTACATTGATTTTCGACCATGTAATTCCATTGGTAAGCAATGCCTTCACTTGCTTCCTTGGATTGAATTGAAGTGAAAACAAGTAGCCTTTGGTTGTTCTGAACCATGTCACTAACTAGTGGCCAATCTTGACCATTTTTGGGCATTTTTGACATAGGAAACCAATATTTCATTAACCCAGCATCGGCGAAGACCTTGGTCAGTCCATTGGGAGCTTGAACATAATCTTCTAAGATTAATGTAACAATCTCTGTTGGATTTGCTGATAAGAAAGCTTCAATTTCCTTAAGAGTGTCAATAGCTGGACCCTGATGGGGCAAACATTTACATTTCACATATCATAAAAAAACAAAAGGAAAAATAAAATCATATGACTCGACGGGGAATCAATGTACATACAAATGCAGTAAAGTCATAGCATTTTCCTTTAAATGAATGGCATAACCATACATCTCCACGAAAATCATAGGTATCAAGCATCAAGGCTCGAGCTCCATTCTGCAGTCAAATTATTAATGGAACTTGTTAATTGACAAAAAAAAGGTTCGACCATGGTAAAGAAAGAAAGGAAATGTGTAAAGAGGAGAAAACATTTACATTTAGTTGCTCTGTGATGCTGTCTTCTTGATTGGTGACTGTGATTCGAGGGATTCCGGTGTGAGATGGGTATCCATCAATAGCAAATGCATTGTGCGTTGTCAGAAATGCATATTTGTTGAGCGGCAGGGAATTGTTCTATTAAGAAGAGAAAGAAGAAAAGCTACTTAATTTGTGTATTGGTTGTTAGATAGGAAACCGAATTATAGTTTTATCATATAATCCTCCTTCAATCTCAATTCATATTCTAGTAGGACAAGGGTGTTCAAAGATACTGAAAATTTTTGTTTAAACTAATTGGTAACAATGATTCAAGTTGAAAATGATGTTACAAACAAAAGATTCAATTTTTTATGCAATATCCAATTCCAATTCCGCAGCTTTCCACTCGGAATTTTCAGCTTCTTTATAATTCTGAATCTACCAGTTTCCTGAGCCGCAACAAGAGTTCCACATACTCTGCAACTCGGTATTAACAGTCACTGAAATTCAGTCGATATTCCTCCATCTTAAGGAGGGGCCCCTCTTCATTTAGGCAGATCTCAATCTATTATTAAATGGACCATGGCCAAGGCAGGCCCTCCATTTCAAAAACAACAGTACACTAGCCACCCTAATATTCGTCCAATTTGCGTGGTGCAGAGTGAATTCCTGGTGGTTGTGGCTGATGGCCTTCCTGGAAACTGCCAGGAAAGAAATCCTTGGTTGATATAGAACATTCCCATCAATATCCATTCCAATTCTCACTTGATGAAGAAAATTTATGGCCTATATCTATTACTTTTCCTCTTTTGATTTGTAACACTCACGCTCCCCATCTTCATGGTATCATCATGCAACAGGCCTAAAACAAAAGTATGTCTTGTGTTCATCGTGTAAAGACAAAAAGCAAAACAAACCACTCAAGATGAATCAATCAAGCGTGTGCGAACTAAAAGTTGCCCCAGCAAACTCAGGACCCTCATAATTATTGACCAAAAAGAGAAATAGGGAAGTACCAGAAGCTTGAATTGGTTTGTGATGGTTGATCTTACACATCTAGAACCTGAAAATCCTGCTGGACAAGAGAAACAATAGAGTCCAGCTTCACAATCTTGGTTCGATGAACATTTATCGAGTATCTAAATATTGAAATTTACAAAGATGGATTAGCAAAAAAAAAAAACAATCAGAGCTTAAAATGGTTCTTGACGACGTGCAAGTAAAAGAGAAGACACAAACCTTGCATTCTCCATTAGAGCAAGCTGTCGCAACATCAACAAGGACCACTGAAGATGTGATGATCAGAAACAAGTTCTGAGAAAAACCCATGTTGACAGGGAAACGAAAGGATGTGCAGCTGTTACAGGAGAATAAATTAAGGAGAGAAAAGAGACCTGGACATACATGCGTGCGAGTAATATTCAGTGCTCTATATCACTGTATGTATGTCAAGTGTCATTGAAACGATGAATTTGGTTTGTTTGATATTTTCCTGGACAACTAATGTGAACTTCTCTTGTTTTGTGGCTGAGAAAATAAAAACTTCACGAAACTCTACTGGGAACAGGACAGGTGAGGAGTTGGCCGTCTACGACTTCCTTTGCAAAACAAGATATTTCAACGGGTGTAGGCCATCAACTTGCTAGCGTCGGTTTTTTTTTTTTTTTTGAACATAAAGAAAAATAAATATGCACTCTTTTAACTATTTCTTTTATATAAAAAAAGATTGTAATAATAAACTCAACATTTTATCCATGTATATTTAATTAATTAAATAAAAAAATATAAATTAAGAAATTTAATATCACAATATGGAACTTTTATCTAATTATATTTAATAACTTTATTTCTTGAAAATAATATTTTGTTTAATAAAATAATAATAATAAAAGACATGTTTCATAAAATAATTGGATAAAATTAAGAACAAATTTTAAGTAGGGGACATGGAAAGAATATCTCCTAATATCATTAAAAATATAAAATCTTATATGTGAATTAAGTAAAAACTAAATGTATTACATTAAAAAAATATCATAAAAATTGATTTAAAATGTGTGAAAATCCAAAAAAACAAATAAAATCAATAAAAAAATTTAACATTAAATAATAAAATTAAAAAAAAATCAATGAATAAAAAAAATACTCATACGCACAGACCTTATATAAGTGAGTTAGCATACTTCGCTAGACTTCTCTCTCTCCCTCCGTCTCCCCTCTTCTTTCTCTTTCTTTTTTTTTTTTTAAAGGGTGGATGATCTGAATTTTACTCTTACATTCTTTAAAGATAAAAAAAAAAAAAAAGAATTGATGATATTTTTCCTAGTAAGATAAACAACACGTTATTTATTTCTCCGATTCTAGCCACTATAAAGGCTTGAAAATCAAGAGTGATGACTTTTTTATCTAAATATTTATTTCTCAACCATTTTTTTTTAAAAAAATTAACTCGAACACTTCATATACATAAATTTTTATATAACTTAAAATGACGTAAAAATTGATCTAAAACCAAAAAACCTTTTCAAGCTAAGATCTACAATATGGGGTAATAGAAAGGTTAAAGAACACCTATTTAACTCTCCTTATTGACATTAAAATTAATTTTTTGTGGATTATATCAATGTCAACTAATACTTTTTTTCTTTACCATTGACATCCAGTGACTTTTTCTTTTATTTTTTAAATAATGGATTGAAAAGTAAGAAAAATAAAGGTTTGTACCACAATTGAATTTTTAAATATCAAGGAACCAAAGAAATTATAATTTAAAACATAGAAGGACCAAAATAAATTTTTTCCCCATTTTTTAAACTACTATTTTTTTGCCGTTGTTTTATATCGTGGTCCCTCAGTTGCAATTTTGTCTCTCCTTAACTTAAATTGGTCATGGGTTTTTTCATAGTAATTGCCTTCTTTTTTGTTATAATTTTTAGCTATAGCTTTGTTTTTAACTATAGTTTTATGTTATCAATTTTATTTTTAAAAACCCATTTTATTTTTATAATTGATTGATGGCTAGGTTTAAGGATCAGTCATTGCACATTATTTTTTAAAATTGATTTAGCTCATCTTGTATGGTTAAAATCTAATTTGCATCTTTTTTTGTTTTTAGAAAAGATCTGAGAAATAAAGTTTAAGGACTAAATTGTAAAAAAAAATCATCATGAATTGCTATAATAAAAACATGATACATTTTAGAGTTTTTTGTAGTTATAATTACTTTGGATCATGGTGAAACTTCATGACTTGCTTTTCAAAGAACAAATTAATTTTTATTTTTTTAATAATTTTTAAATTCTAAACAATACAAAGTAATAAATCTTGTAGTTATTGCATCAGATTTTGTTCATGATTTGATACAAAATATAGGTTGAGCGAGTTAATATATATCAATAAAAATGATGTTTTTTTTTTTTAAAAAAAGAAGAAGCTAAATTAAGTTTTGACCCGCTATGCGTTTTGATCCGTCCAGTTTATTAAGTCAACTTTAAACTTTGAGTTGACTAATTTTTTGAAATCTAGCCGGGATTCAGGCCGGATCAGCCGCATTCCAAATTAGCCATTTAGACAAAGTCTAGTAACTGTGATCCAGTACAGGCCCAAGTCCAGAACCTTCCCCATAAATACAGTAACTTATGGGCAGTATGAAATAAAACTCAAACGCGCACACCAGGTTGTTAAATTGTCAAGCAAAAAAAAAGAGAGAAACCCTAAAACCCTCTCTGCTGAGCTATGGATCCCCAACCAGAACCTGTCAGCTACATCTGTGGAGGCAAGAATTTCACGTTCTGTTACAGAAAATGAAATAGAATCGTGGGTTTCTTTTAAATTTTTCTTTTGATCATGTTTTGTCTATATATTTCTTAATTTTTGTAGATTGTGGAATGGAGAATACTTTAAAGCCAGGAGATGTTATTCAGTGCAGAGAGTGCGGTTACCGTATTCTTTATAAGAAGCGTACTCGTCGAAGTACGTTTTTATTTTATTTATTTGATTGATTTTGTTGTTTCCCTCATGTTTTTTATGTGGGCTTGTGTTAGTTAGATTAAGTTTTTGAGGTGGTTATTGTAGTATTTCTTTGTTTTGGGTGGGGGATTGAACACTATCACTGTTTTGTTTGGTTTTTTGAGGGGTTCCTGTTGGTTAAGAATTTGCAAATTTTTTTCCGATGAAATAGTTGTGTTTAATTTGCGGGTTTTGGTAATGGTGGTGGTTTGTAGATATTGCATTTTGGTGGTGTCATGAATGTACATTTTAGCTTAGAAATTAAGGTGCTTTGGTTCGTTGATGTGGTCACATTGCTGTTTGGTTGTTTCTGCTTCCTAAATAGTTGCTAACTTCAATCATGGTGGTGGTCGGTAGTGTTTCACGCAATTCATGTGAAGCAGCTCAGTTTTTGTTTTCTTTTTCAGTGGTGGTTGTGCATTATGTACACATCAAGTTATATTGTTTTAGATAGTTCGTCATGGTAGAACATTAAAGATTATGCTTGTGTGTTGTGTTTAGAATTAATGGTAGGAGTTCAAAATCAATGTGCGTAATTGACGCAAATGAAGAGCAAAGGTAGTGACTTCAAAAAGTGTGTGCAAGGCACAATAATTTGGTTGACTGGCTAAGCATTTATGTCTCTAAATGTAAATGATTCATCAATGTATGCTGCATTGGTCGAAAAAGCATTGGAAACCCTGCTTCAGAATTTTTTTCCTAAATTCATGTAATGCACTGCCAGTCTATGCATTTAGTAGCTAGGATATATCACGTTGGTCTACCTAGGACTTGTGTTGTTTCTTGATGATTTTTCCGTGTGGCTGTTAACTACCTATCTATCATATGCTTCCTTTTATCCTGTGTGGTTTTGCCATCAATAATTCTGACTATTTGTGTCTGGAACTTCAATCCACAACCCCTGCACATGATGATTTTAAGGAATTGGTGCTTAGGTATGTGTCTGACATGTAAATTCTCTTCTTGCAGTTGTGCAATATGAGGCACGCTGAGGGATGGATGGGGATGTGCATTTTGCGCCTGAGTTAGCATCAAGGCATGGTTGGCTTATTGGATGTGTTATGTCTACCTTTTAGTTTCATGAGACCACCAGCAGTATAGCTGATTTAGTATTGGAATCATATGAACCATATATAATGTGAAGTGTTTCTATTAGACCTTGCAACTTGTTAATGGATGAAGATTAAAAGTTTGTGCTTGTGACATTCTGATATAATGAAAGGTTGTTGATTATGTGCTGTCCGTGTTTAAAGTTGTTTCAGAAAGTGAATTGCTTTGAATTATAAAGGTAACTCCTAAGTCCCAGCATCCATGTTCCCTCCCATTGCCCCAATCCTGAACTGAACTTTCTCAAACCTGCTCGTCCATGCTTGATTGCCAAAATCCAAGTACTCTCAGTCTGTGTATCTGTTTCAAGTGTGAAACCCAACTGTTCACGCATGGTGCTTTTGATGCGGATTGAACATATCATTTCTAGCTACGTGAAGCATGCAGGAGGCGTGCTATCTGTTTTAACTGAAGAACCCGAGACTGGTCTAGAGCGGGGAAATATTGCTCTGCTTCTAGTCCATGTTCCTCACTAGTAGTAGTTCATACGTAGCAAAAAATTCTATCAATCAGTGTCAACTAGAGATGTGGATAATTCAAGGCACAATGGCATGGTATGCTTTTCCTAGTTGAATGAAACCAAACTTCTCATAAGGAGGATATATGGGGTCTCACTCAGGTGAGATTTGCCGATCACTTGTGAGATTCAGGCAGTTTAGAAGGCCATCACCACTCTTATTTTTTCAGAATCTCTCTCTTGTTAGTACATGGGCAATCACCTCGCAAGCACAAATTTATGCTTAGCTTAGTCAAATAAAATGGAGCAACTGGCGATGTATCTTCACAGACCAATAACTGTGAGATTGCTGGGCGACAGGGATCATGCTTTTCCCTGAGGCAGGGAGAAAGCTACAGTCAACATGATTTTCCTAACGCTCTCTTCTAAAGACACACACACACACATGTATATAACACAAAAAATAAAATGTAGGCAAAATATATCGGGCAAAAAGGGAGAGGGAAAACCAGAAGTTTGTGGGCCGGAATACCGGATGCAGTCAACAGATCCACTTCTGGTGGATCACATGGTCCAGTCCGATCCAGCCCACTAAAGATGTGAAAGGAGAAAAAAAGAATTGTTCATTCCTTCCCTTCAAATCGTCCCCGGCAGAAAACAGCCCGAAGATTTTGACACAAATCCAAATCCAAATCCAAATCGATTTATTTCAACAGCAATGGAAGAATATCCAGAAGAATTACGCACGCCACCGGTAGCGCTAGTTTCACTAGTAGGCTGCACGGATCACCACCCGCTAATCTCCTCTTTTCTCAACGCTGAACAACCGCCGATAAACACTCTAGCCTTACCCGATTTCTCCAAAATCACCCTTCTCCTCTCCAAGCCGACCAAATCTGATCCAGCTAATAATGGAGGAATTTTAAAGAGAGATTGGCTACTTAAACATCGAACTCGAGTTCCGGCTGTCGTCGCTGCTCTTTTTAGCTCTGGTCATGTTTCTGGCGATCCTGCTCAATGGCTTCAAGTT